TTGCCAGTATAGCAGCTGTTCCAGCACCCAAACTATGACCAACTATCACAAGTTTATATTCCTATAGACACAACAGAAGAGTGAAACACAGATGAGCACAGAAAAAAACTTTGTGTAATTTTTCTGGCAAATAAAATTATTTGGAAGGTAACTTACTGGAGCAATTGTGAAAGCCTTGTTTAAAATTCCATCATTTATTAGCTTTCGATGGATGTAATTGGCAGCTTGAGTTATTCCCTACAAGACAGCATTTAAGATTAGAAGGGTGTATCTGATCTGAAGTGTGACACACACGTACTTTAAACACAACACCATCACAGAACAACTTCCTTTTTGCAAAGCTGGTCTTCTCTTTAACATGCTCCCAACAGAGACCTATTTGTAACCCAGTGGTCTTGTACGTAATGGTTAAATGGATTTTGTAGTATTTAATGAGGACATCAAGTCTGACAAGAAGATTGCAAATTCTACCTTGCAGTTCCCATACTTGATGCAAGAACCAAGTCACTGAAATAATTTGTGCAATCCAGCTCACAAGGAGAAAACTTTTCTGCTTATTGTTTATGGGTGTTTATAGTTATTGCACTGCTGAGATGACCTACAGACAGCACAGACTGCACACACCTTATGCACAAAGCCATTCTCCAGGACATCCTCCAGTGTCAAGTCTTCACAGTCGGCTGACAGATCAGTCAGGATGTCCTGCCAACAAGACAGTTTTGTCAGGCTGCCCTGCAGGGCTTCATGGCTCATGGGTCAACATTATCACAGGGACACCGACAAGGTGACTTCCAGATGTGTAAGTAACACAACACAACCCACCATAAATCACCACCCAAGTAAATATATGGAGCAATCACAATTCTGATTTCAGCAACTATTTCCAAATGGCCAACACAGACATTATGAACACACCTCCATTTGCAGTGGAAAGAAATTACAGAAGGGCTCACAACTTACACCTGGAAGACTCCTACTTGTGAGTGAGTTATTTTTACATGTGCCAGTACAACACAATTTATTCTAGTTATACTAGGAGTTCTCCTCTCCCATTTCTATAAAGCTAATTATTTTTATCAGATGGATGGTACCTCAAAAGACAGGGTTCCTCTCACTGCAACCACAATGGCTTCTTTTCTGTGATCCAAAGCAACAAAAAATGGAATCTCATAGATCTGGAGGGGAAAAATGTAATCAGTAAAGACACCAACTTTTTCTAAGAGCAAGCATTTGTTCTCACCTTCTGAAAGCTCTCTTACTGAGCTCTCTATTATGGAAAGAAGCCAAATTATTTTCTTACCAAGTTCTTTTAAGTCCCTTCTATTGCAATACTGAGAGGGATTTCTGTCAAGTTTTGTGGCTGTTTCTTTAGATTAAAAAAAAGTAAATCAACACAGACTGTTTTGGGGCCTGTTTTCATTTGGCTTTGCATCCTGCACTTCATAAATGCTGAAGGGCAAATCAGAACTTCACCCCTTGCTTTCAATGAATTAATCACTAAGTTTTTTTTGTTGAATGCCTGCCCAGATCGTTTACCTTGTTATGAAAACTGATATGAATGAAGTCTCTGTACTGCAGTCCTGTTATTTTTAGGATGGATCCAAAGTGCAAGTTGTGACGCTCACTGCCAGTTACATCAGAATCTGTCAGTCTGTTTCCACAACTAACAAACACAGAGGAGAAAAACTTTCATGTTCCAATGTTTTAGGTTTCCTTTCAAGGAATCAAACTCAGTTACATTTGCAGCAGGATTTCTGCTAAGAATTAGTACAGGAAGCCTGATACAAGGTGCTACCTCTGCCCACAAGCCTGGTTTGGCTTGAGCAGCATTGCCACACGTTTCTGAGTCCCAGGACTGGCAAATTCTCACTGCCACAGAACTACCAGCAGAGCAAGCACTGCAGTGAGGAAAGAATCCTGAGGCCTACAGCCCAATGACAGAAAATACAAACAAGCAAAAAGGAAATAAAAAATAAATTCTGTACAACAGGCTTATCTCTATTTTTATCCATTATGTTATGTGGTTATTTTTTCAAAGCCACTTAGGCTTCAGTAGTCAAGAAATGTCAGTGGTCACTTAAATATAGAGCAATCCTACACAGCATTTATGCATACTGCAACACTAACTGTAAAAACATAATTTGAGTCAAGGGGGCAAAGGGAATAAAATGGAGGCTAGAGGGACAGGTAATTCTGGCTATTTCCTTTAAGACAGGGGAAATTGTTGATACACTTTTACTTCTATATATATATGTGCCTCAAAGGCAGCTGTAAAAAGCCTAATTTTAAAACATGTTTGGTTTAATTGCAATTCTTCCTTTGTCATTTTGCTAAATTTTACTTATCTATATAACAAACTTTGCTTAAGAAAAAACAGCAAATCTGTTTCAGAGGGTGGAAAGATGCTGTATTTTCATTTCTACTGAATTTGTAAGTGATAACTCTACCAGTCAAACTCATGTCCTCCTAAGACTGATAAAACTTACTGCATCAAAAATACTGCAATTGAAACAATTTTGTTTCTGCTAACATTATTTAAATGAAAAGAAGCTATATGCTTTTAAGCTCTTAATCAAACCTACCAGTCACCACTGAGCTTACAGAGTGCAGTAAATGGGTTGGTGTATATGTAGTAGGGCCAGCCATAAGCAGCTGCAGCAAAGAGCATATAGTGAGCAGAGTTCTCCACTTCAATATCCAAATCATCTGCCTGAAAGGACACAGGGAAAGAAAAGGAAAGAAAGATAGGAAGAAAGGTGTGTTAGGCAGACCCAGAATAAAACCTGAACACAGACTAGTGAAAATCAAGGCATTACAAAATATGCACTATTTAAAAGGAAAACCTCAAGGTCTAAGAGGAACTGAAAATAGCCACTCATATTCTAGGAAAAAGTCTGTGTTTATTTACCTGGCTACACAACCCAAGAATCTTGAAAAGCTCTCAATAAATTAGTTTCTTCCAATATTCACACACTGATAAGCTCAATACTGCAATAACATTCCTTCCAAGTATGTTACTTAAGGATGTCAAAGGAACAGCTAAACAGCCTGTAGCAGATCTCCCTGGTAAAGACTTGTAAACCATGACCCCATCCCACTGGCTGGATTCAAAAGGAAGCTGAGGGAAACACACTGGTTGAAGTACAATTACATACTTCTATAAAACACAGAACAAAATATGGTAAAATAATTTACAAAATTTTACCATAGATGCTAGTAAAAAATGTCTAAACTGTAACCCATCATCTGTAAGCATTTAAAAGATGCTACTTTTGTTTCTTACTTTGGATATTTGCAGCAGGCATAATTTAAACAGACCACAATACTAAAATACTAGCTTTTCAGTCCTATGTAAATAGTGCTAAATATTAAATTTCCTCTCTGTTTTCTTTCTCTCCCAGCTCTTCAACAATGATCAAATGTCCTAAATGGTTCCTTTTCATATATTAATTCTACTTATGCAAAAGCAGACAAATATTTTGACTGCAAACTCATCAAGATGTGTTCACTGCATTTATTAATAATTTAGATTGTTGTGCATTTTTATAGCAGTGTTTAATCTTGTTTAAAAAAAACCAACAAAAAACCACAACAAAAACCAAACCAAAACAAAACCCCCTTGCACAAAGAACTGCATTTCAATTTGATTTGGCACTGTCTCCTACTGTAATTGCACCAGAGGCTGCAACAACCCAACCTCACCACAAGAGATGATGGAGAATGACACAGGACTTCTTCAGGGTCTTTTGGGCAACTTTCCATTTTATCTTGCTCTTGATGGAGCAGAGTCAAACCAGCTGCTATGTCACTTGGCACCAGATCAGTGTCCTGTACAAAGAAACAAAGCAGTGCTTAGAACTATCCCAGACCTCAACATGACAAAAACTATCTCGTATGAAAATGCACACAGAATCCTATTTTTTCAATTTATATAAATCCACATCACTTAGAGACAAGGAGCATTCGAGAAACAGGTCAGAGCAGCACCTAACCTCCCACCTCTTCTGTACCTATTGAATGTTTTCTTCAGTAAGGCTGATGACAATTCTGCAAATTAATTTCATCACCATTAATTCTGCAAATTAATTTCATCACAAAATACCCAACAGAGGACTGGCTCAGCCACATAACAAACAATGATCCAGACATTACTGATCACTGTTCTACACTGCTGTGTGAAAGGCTCTATGTGAAAAGAGAACAACTAAGGATTTTACACAGAAGAAAGCTGCAGGGTGTGGGGTACTCATCTCTCCACACCCTCTACCCTGTAAACCACTGAGTAGGCTGCAGCTACAAATCATGTCCAAGTGTCCCTTAATAAGTAAGACCTAATAGTCTTGAAATGATTAACAGAATTTAAAGTCAACATTGAACGACGACTTCCCAAGCAGTAGGTGACACAAATTTGAGCTAAATAAACACTATGCAGAGTCAGATTTGGCAAACACTTTCTATTTCCAAAAAGCAACTTTCTGGACATGCACACTCTAGTCTGGTCTGTGCTCAGACGGGCTGGGAATGGGAAGGCTGCCTTGGTGTCCTGTGGAGCTCAGGTTCTTAATAGTCAGGAAGCAGCCTGATTCTCTGCTATGGGTGTGACTCTTTACGCATCATCAGTCGGGAAAATGGCTCAATATTCACATTTTGAAGAAAAGGAACTCATCCTTGTTGTCCTAAATAAATATTCACCTAAGAAAGAATACTGTTCTCTCACAGCTCTTCACACTTGTGAAGGGAGAGAAACCTTTGCTAAAGGGAGAGAAAAATCAATGTTGCATACCTTGTATGAAAATCACCTTTAATTTTGAAATAGGCATATTCAAAACCTGATTTCTGGGCACAGAGTAGCAGGGACCTCTGACTGAACAAAGGTACCTGTGTGCTGCAATGGCTACAAACTCAGAGTTAGTCAAAACAGAGTCAAAAGGAAGAAAAAGCTTTCCATCTTACTGAGAAGTAGTTGCGGAAAAGCTCTGCGATGCTTGTAAAAGCCACCCGGTGGTCATCGTCTTGCACAATGCAGCAACACAGTAACCTGATTCTTTTTTCCCAGACTCTGGTGGCAGTGTTCTTCACGTTATATAGCAACTGCCCTGACTGGCTGCTTTCCAGGTTCCAATTTACACTGTCAGTGAGGTAAAACGTTTTTTTCCCCCCAAGTGGATCAAAGGCAATTACGACTCCAATGATGGTAAAGATGATGATCACCCAGCTGCAAAACAGAAGGAAGTGGGATAAGACGACCATGAAACCTGATACTTGTGCAAAGTATGCAAGAAAACACAGCTTAGAGATCTTGACAGACAGGAAGCAAAGTCAGGTACGAAATACTGCATGAACACCATCTATGACTGTCTAAACGGTGCGTGGTTTGTTATTGGGCTTTCAAGCCACTAGGCACAAGAACAAGGCTGTCAGCTCATTTCACACCATCAAAATCAGCCCTGTGCTTTGGAAATAGCAACCCAGAGGGGTAAAGGCTCCATTTTTCACTACCAGTTAAGTCATCTAGTTCCTATCTTCCTCATGTTTATCCAGTTTTCTACATTCCCACCTATCCCTCTTACTCTTTCTGATCCTCATCTCCTTTATTTCACTCTAGCACATGCTGTCCCAAGGTAAGAAGCTCAAAGTTGTTTAAGAAAGGATCCCAACTCACTCTAGCTGCCTAGATTTTAAAATTAAAATTTTCACAATGAAAATCCTCCTATATAAGAAACCACAATAACTAGTCTCTGGAATACCCTTCCAAAAACACATACAAAAAGCATGTCAGGAGTATTTCCCATTTCAAGTACACTGCCAAGCTTAGGTCTGGGAGCAGTCACCTTTACCTTGCAATAACTGTCCCAATGATGCCATTTACCACAGTCTTCTCGCAGCGCACACTGCTGTCAGACACCCATACAGCTCCTGCAACAGCCCAGATGAATTCAGGGACATAGAGAAATAGGCGTATACAAAGTAGCTTGGGAAGTGATTTTCTTGGGCCAGGATTAGAAATTGTTCCTGAAATTACAGGAGAATTTAAAACAAGAACTGTTTATGAATGCATGTTAAGAATACAAAATCCCACTTGGATATACGGACTTTCTGAGCTTTACAGAAAGCATGGAACTTAACTGAAGCTATGAAGCATTTTCATACTAATGGAAGCATCACTGAAGCTGAGAAACGGAAAACAGCAGTGGGTTTAGAGCTATGATTTTTAGAATCTATTACTACTCAAAATCCCTCTCTAGTCAGAGACAGTTCTGCAGCCAACTTGAGGCTGTGGTGCTGTGCCCAGCAGAAGCCAGAGGGGTACTGGAGCACTGGCTCACCTCCTAGTGCCCTATGACTTTCCATGCCTACTTTTATTATTATTCTGTTTAATTTTTAGTTGGCTGAGTATTTCATCTTAGATGCTACTTTGCTGGGCTACAATGAAATTTTGCTTACTGAATCACTAAATAATAGATTCGTGGACATTTTTACTCAGGAGAATAAGAGTAAGGACCGTAACCAGGACAAATACTTCTTAGACTATCTTTTGTTTTGTTAGGTTACTAATAACCTTTTCTTTTTAGTACTCTTAGGCACTTAAAAGTGAGTAACTTTTGCCCAGCTCAGCTCCTTAAACCAGTTTACTGATCACAGAGTAAATAGACTGGTGGGCTGTGCACGCTCACGTGTAGGCAGGATAATTTGTAAAAGCTTAAAACACTGCAGAAGAAAAACAACTCTGGAAACTATTTTCCAGTCGTAAAGCTGTGGTTCACACCAATGACAAAGCTATTTAAAAAGCCCTTGATCCAGTGGTTGCTTATTCCCATTCCCAGGTTGTAGGCTGTACTGCAGCAGCATAGTTGCCTACACAGACACAATCAGATTGAACTTTGATTCCTGAAAACAACCTCTTCCCTTTCCCAGCACCACAAAGCAGTCAGGTTTACCACTGGCATCATGAATGCCCACATCACAACAGTGGTGCAAGAACCATTGCTTCCAAACCCACACATTATAACCACAGCCCAAGACATGTCACCACTTATTTTCTCGGAAATTCAGCCTCAGAATTCTTCCATTTCTTAGATATAATGGTCTTGTAGCTCCACTTCTATATAAAGTAAGGCTCTTTTCTCCCTGCTATTTACAGTTACATGTCTCATTACATCTCTCATCTCCTCAACTTGGATATACTTAGCATAACTTGGGTAATAATCTCCCTTTCTCTCCTCTGGATACTGTAGGAAAACCACTGGTTAGATGCAAGGCCAGGATAATCATCCACATCTCTGCTGTCTCATTGTTTCTCTTTGTGCACTCACATAATTTGAATATTATTATTAGCCATTTACCTTGCATACTGATGTACACAAGAGCAGACAATGCACATATTATAGCAGCCAGGAGAAGGAGGAGGCCGAGCAAGTAGCTGTGCAGTGATCCTCCCCCAGGACAGTTAAACTGCCCCTTATGGACTGTGTAAAGAACAAGAATTCCAATCCACCTACAGGGAAGTGAGATAATAAAAGTTATAGCTGGAAGGGAAAGTGCAGCTGCAAAGCGATCACCTTACAAGTCGTTTCCGTCTTACTGAGAGCACCAAAGATTAGCAGAACAGGAGCTGTTACATAAGGAGTTTGTCGGAATGAAACGACTCGACCAACACGCCGCGGCAAGTGCAGCCAGAGCCACAAACTGCCCTGAGGCGCTGCCCGTCCTCGGGCTGAGCAAAGGAACCGTCACGTTAATCGCTGAAGTAACGAAACCACATCAGCACTGACCAGCGATTCCACACAACGAGTCGCGACGGTTCCGAGCGCAAGGAAGAGCGCGCAGTAACGACACGACGGGCTGCGATTATGTAAGTGCAGGGGCTCTGACCGCGGAACCGCCGCGCTCCTCCCCGCGGAGCAGCGCCTCAGGTGAAGGGGCAGCCCCAGCCCCGCAGCCC